TGTGTGTGTGTGTGTGTGTGTGTGTGTGTGTGTGTGTGTCTGTAAATGTGTGTTACTGTGTCAGAGGAGCCCAGAGAATGAAAAAGCTCTGCAGGTGCTGACGTTCATTGGCTGTGGAGTGTCTCTGTGTGGCCTCCTCTTCACCTTCATCCTCTTCATCTCCGTGGGGTGAGTCACAAACATCACAGAGTGCACTCTGTAAAGCATCAAGGGTGAAAAGCATTTCATATAACCCTGCTAGATTCCCATCAATAAATGGAGCGGCAAAAAGCAGAACATTGTGCTCTGTAGATGTGTGAACAGCATCGCAGTGAAACTTTTTTAATCCTGAGAACTGCTGTAAGAGCTTTGCTCACATATTTTTGCTGTGTGTCCTTGCGTGTGTGTCTTTGTACAGTGTCCCTAAATCAGACCGCACAACTGTCCATAAGAACCTTATAGTTGCTCTGGGAGTGGCTGAGCTGCTGTTGATGTGCAGCAGTTGGGCTGCTGAAAATGAGGTGAGTCTGCATATAATTGAACACATCAAGTGTTTTAAATAAAATACATGAAATTAAATCGAGCAATTTCTAAATCCTGAGAATTTTGTAACTTTATGTTCTTAATATTTACTGGCAAACCCAGCTGGGGTTTAATGTAGAGCAAATTAATATCCCCCATTTATCCTGTTTGGACACCCAAGTGGAAAATATCTGAATTTTTATAGGTCATTTAGAGCGATATCAGCATCAGTGTTGATCCTAATCCTACGCTATCAGAATGGGGATTTTGTAAAAAGCTTTTTGCTCTTAATAAATTGATAATTTATTATTAATTGTTTATTGATAATTGCTTTATCTGAAACATTTAAGTGTGAAGAATATGCAAATAACTAAGTTTTTTTCACTACATTTCATATTTAAATGAATAAAATGATGTTTCTCATGTGGTTATGTTTCAGTTTGTGAGCTTATTTGTCTTCCTTTTATGTCAGAGTCTAAAAGACTCAAACGCAGATTCAGAATGAAGTTTGGTGAACTTATTTACAGTGGCTGGAAACGGTGGGCTTGAGCTGAGACGTGGATGCACATGTTCCAAACAAACAAACAGTGACAGGGTTAATTAGAAAGTCAATCTCAAATGTTCCAATGTAATTAGGAGAGAGTTTGCGGGATTCAGTCTGTACCTAACACGCTTGCTGGAAAGCCAAATCTTTTGACCAGGTGAGTAACGCGGTTCAAGTGTCCTACCGCGATCCGCACATTGTTTGTTCTGCTCTTTTGTCCAGAGCAGGGCTGTTTGTGTCGCCTTCCTGAGTTGCCAGCACCTGCCGAGATGGTGTTAAACAGGTGGTACCAAACACTCACCTTCCACAGAGGGCAACAAGAATCACTGATAGCCGATCAATAGCGGGAGCCCAGTCGCTGAGGATGTCAGGGAGTTATGCGCATACTCGACCCAGCCCAACCTGGAGTTCCACCTGGGAACTCCAGGTTGGGCACAGTGTATTGAAGAGAGGCCTGCAGCTCCTGATTTGTCCTCTGCACCTGACCATTGGTCTCTGGGTGAAATCTGGGCTCCCAGTATGGAGCAGAACTCTTTCCTCACCTGCGAGGCAAACTGAGAGCCACAGTCTGACACGATGCAGCTGGAGCCCATCATCAGTCATTAGCTGGGCCATCTCCAGTGCGGATGACACTTTGAGTGATAAAATGGGCTTGTTTAGAAAAGTGGTCAACAGTAGTGAGGATAATTATGTTACCTGCTGAAGGAGGAAGGCCGGTGATGAAGTCCAGGGACATGTGGGTCCAATGCTGCTGCCCAGGCAGGCTTGGTCCTCTGGCGCCCAGTAGGAAGAGGTCAGAGGAATCCTGCGGGCATGGAACTGGAAGCCTTACTTTGGACACACACCTGACAAGCCGACACATACAGGGAAGGCCACCAAAACAAACATTGCAGGAAAATTATCATGCAGTCCAAGTCTGGATAGCACGTGAACCTGGCCGCATGCCACCAATGGATGACCTGGGATCAAACTGAGGATGGGTCGTTACCTGGATCAGGGAACCTGGGATTCGCTCTCCCACATCAGAAACCCAGCGATACAGGCGGCGATGATATAGTGGTGATACTGCGGAGGCATCCAAGCGCAAGAACTGACGGAAAAGGGGTCTGACGTTCCAAGAGTCGGGTCTGTGAGTAAAAACACAGTTAAACCACGCCAAGAAAAGGGCCTACGTGGGAATTCAGATGTTTGGCCACTTTGAGATAAACAAGGTTTTTTAGTCAGTCCAGATGATAAATGGCTGCTCGGCTCCCTCCAGTCAGTGTCATTCCTCCAAAGCCACTGCCAGCAACTTCCAGTTCTGTGGGGGAAAGGCGTCGAGAAAAGAAAGCCCATGGATGGATTTTTCCTTCTTTACTTTGAGAGAGGATATCTGAAGCATCCCCGATATCTGATCCGAAGCATCTGCCTCTGCAATGAATTGCTGAGTCGTGTTGGGCTGAATGAGTACTGCTGCTGCAGCAAACGATTCTTTGAGGGTTGTCAAGGCTTTCTCCACCACTTCATTCCACTGGTATACAGTCTTGGAAAGGTTAGTCAGGTTAGTTAGGCAGGGGAAGTTTTCCAAAGATACAAAGGGAAGTGCTGGAGCTGCTTCAAGAACATATGTGCGGGCCAGTTTATTACTACCTGGATCTATTTATAGTCTGATCAGTGACTCAGCAGAGAAAGTGCACTGCAGTAAATGATATAAGTGCATGTTATGACTTCATGCTGTGAGTAGTCTGTGAGCATAGCAGAAATATACAGCCAAGTGTCATTAGCATAATTTTTAAGTATAACCATTAACCAGTCATTAACGGCTATGTTTTATGAAAATCTCCAAAGACGACAAAATCGCTTTCATCCATGACTCAGGGAGGTAATTAACAATGCAGCTCAGCCCACAGCTCACCTTTGCTTTTGTATTCCTTAAATCCTGCAGACAGCATGCTTCCTTGTGACTGCACTACTTCATCTCTTATTCATGGCTTCTTTTTCCTGGATGCTGGTGGAGGGCTTGCTACTGTGGAGTAAAGTCGTGTCTGTCAATATCAGCGAGGACCGCAGGATGAAAGTCTACTATGTCATTGGCTGGGGTAAACTCTAATCTCACTGAAGTAGCTTGTCAAGTTTCAGTCTGGTTTATGACATTCAGAAAGAAACATTCATTCTAAAAACTTAATATCCGATTAGAAACTCAGAGTGTCGCTATTGAGTGAGTGGTAACAAGTCCAACAAGGATTAATTGCATTTCATCATCTTTAAATAAAATCTTTTCAAATCAACTTTACAATGTCACAAAACTTTATAACAGTTAATTCTCAAATAAACTCCTGATAATGGCAGAAAGACTCTTCATCTTCCCAAATCTTCAAATATTTACTAGTTATGGGAAGTTTGGCTCTCT